ATAATTCCTAGACTACTCTTGAGAGAACACACCACAGGTAAAACCATATGCCTAAAAATATCCGAGGGTGTGCTGACCCCGATCCAAGATTAGACTATGTACAATGTACGGTTTTTTTTTTTGTTTTGTTTTTTGTTTTTGGTGGGGGGGAGGAGAAGGTAGCTAATCATTTCTTTGTTATGGATTATTCTTTTCACTGGGCAAAGAGGTGTTACATTTGCTTATGGTGTGGAATATACTTTAACTGTGCAAAGGTCTGTTCCACTTGTTTGTGCTGTACTTGTTAAGTTCGTTTAATTATGTAAAGATGCTTTTGTTTCACCTTGCCTACCCGGGGCACCTGATTGACCTAATACAGAGCTAATTGGTCATCAGCTAGGCAGGAAGAAGGTGGGGTTGGCAGGCAGAGAGTAAATAGGAGGAGAAACCTGGGGTTGAGGCAGAAGGAGGAGGACAAGAGAATGTAGGAGACAGCCAGGGCTAGAAGTCAGGTGGCCGCCAGCCGCCAGACACCAGGAGCAGTGAACGTAAGATGTACAGGAGGAAAGGGAAGTAAAAACACCGTGAGGCAAAAGGTGGAGAAAGAGAAACAGGTTAATTTCAGTTAAAAGAGCTGGCGAGCAAAGAGCCTAAGCAAGGCAGAGCATTCAAAGCTAATAATACATCTCTGGGTCGTGTCCTGATTTGAGAGATGGTTGGTGGCCTAAAAAGAGAAAGCCTGGTACGTTTCTTTTTATAGTTTTTCTTGTTATCCTATGTGACTAGACGCTCTTATCTTGAAATCTTCAATTGATCAACGTTAAGGAGATTCAGTTTGTATGATATGATACTTTTTATTTCTACATTTTGTGACCACATCCTTCATCATCCATGCTGCATGCTACATGCATCCAGCTGCCTGCCACCCTCCCCCGCCCCGTAATTCAAGAGTTTGTGCCACAGTAAATCTGACATTTTTGCCTCCTCAGTCTATTTCATTTCAAAGCAAGTTCAAGTTCATTGAAAGCATTCAAATATTTAGTCACAGAGAAAGAACAGTTGCAGCCCTAACATAATAATTACTGGTTAATTCTTCCCTTTGTCTAGGTGAAGTCATTCACATACAATGGCATTCTTAGAAAGAGTAGCATCTACCGGGACTGGACAGAGTGCCGCTCTACCCATCATTCCTCTGCTCTCTGTCACACCACCGGCAAAGTACTGCTGGCAACTTCTCCAGCTGAAATAAAACCACATTATGAAGAAAGGCAAACATCTCCCAGGCCTAGCTGATGACCAATTAGCTCTGTATTAGGTCAATCAGGTGCCCCGGTAGGCAAGGTGAAACAAAAGCATCTTTACATAATTAAACGAACTTAACAAATACAGCACAAACAAGTGGAACAGACCTTTGCACAGTTAAAGTATATTCCACACCATACTGCTTGTTTGCTGACATCGGAGCAGCCAGCCTGAGAAGCTCAGAGAGGAACGCAAGAGTTTTTCTTTTTTTCTCGGTACTGGATGCAAGGAGGCAAGGAAGCATCAGGAAAAAGAAATAGCAGAGGGATATTTTAACCTACAGCTTCACGTGCATTTTGTTGCTGTGTTTTGAGGGTGCTACAGTGACTTCTATGCAAGTGTTTACACAAACCAGGGCTGAACAAACTGCTAATCTCAGAGAATGGAATTCTCAAGGTGTGACTGTTCCTCTCTTTATACAAGTAATAATTTCTATTTTCAACCCCATTTCTTATACCAATTTCTAAGGTAAACATCTCCCAGGAACTTGGCACTCCAATATTTGTGAACTGTATACAACCACCTACCCACCACCTGTACTGAAAATATACCCTGAAGGGAATATACCATTGCAACATTTTTCGATATTGTTCCCATCTATGTTTATAACCCCAATGCCAGAATTGCTGAATTATATGCTATACAAGAAGGGGAATAGGGGTAAAGTGAGAGCTGACTACATTTTACTCAGCCTCATCCCACATCAAAAACAAAACAAAACAAAAAACAAAACAAAACAAAACAAAAAAAAAAAAAAAAAAAAAAAAACCAAAAACTTCACTCTCTGCCTCTGAACCCACTGAGTATCCTGAATGAAAACATACTGGTAGATAATGCAAGTCACTCAAGGGACTTAGACACACTCTACAAAATTATTTTGAAAGCATTTTAGCCAAATGTGACACCCACCATATGGGGAAGATTCCTGCTTCAAGCTATCAGTGACTAGATGATGACCCAGAATATTCAGATTGGGGATTGGGAAATGGAAGACTATCTTGATGTGTGTTTGGCAACTACAGAGTGATGTTTCCTAGGATTCCTCAATATTCAGTCACCACTGGTAGCAGTAGCCTCGAAGTGGCTTTCTTCTTGAAAGGTCACTCATTGTATGATAGTAATGTTCCTGCAAGTAAGTTAGGATGGCAAAATAGCCTCCCATAGAACTGAGTGAGCTGCCAGATGTCATCAATGCTGAAAGTCCATGCTGCTGGACCTAAAGTAAGCTGAACTCTAATCCTGCAAGTGCTGAAACCCAGAAGCTTGGTTAAATGCAATTATGAAACAAATACTTGACTAACACAAGAAGAGCACATGATCTAAGAGCAAATCCCAATAATGCTGAAGGCTGTTGTAGGGCACAGGGAGGACACTGACTTAACAGTAAGGTGGCCTGGCCTAAAATCCCAGTCCTGATACCATTAGACACAGGAACTTAAGCAAGTGTCTCTCTCATCTGTAATGCACTCCTGTATAAGTGGGTAATGATCTTTTAGAGCTGCTGTAAAGATTAGATTAGAAATATTACATAAAAGCACTCCGCACATTGATGGCTGGCAGAAGGCATTCAGTAGATGATAATTATCACATTATTATTCAAATAATAAAGGATACTTCAAAATTAATTTTACATTTGCTTTTAGAAATTCACAAAATCATGCAATTAAAATTACAACCATCATGGTAACAATAGCTAATGTTTAATGAGCATGCCTGTTTATTGAATCTTCAGACTACAGGTAGAGTCAACACCATGCACATTTTGCAGATAACAAAACTGAACTACAGAGAACACAGGCAATGTCACACAGCTAGTGGAGTGACTCAGCACGTCCAGCAGGCAGGGAGGCTGTGGAGTGCACACTCTAAACTACTGAGCCATTTTGCTTTGGTGATGAAGAAGTTAGGTCCCTCCTCATTCTACAGATAGCTGCTTTCTTTGTATTTGACTGCACACTATTATATGCTATGCATTTTGAAGGGATTATCCAGCTCTACTTCCCATCCCATACAATTTACTCAACTAGCTTTTGTAATTCAGTGGGGTTTAGTAGATACAGTGTTGAGGAATAATTAACACTTCAATTTCAAAACACTTTAACTTTGAAAAGAAAGCCTGTTCTCATTAGAGGTCACTCATTCCTCATTATCCCAGCCATGTTGACCCTGGAAAACACGATTTTCTGTTGACTTGCCTAGTGAGGACAGCTCATATGATCACGGTTCTATAACGAACTCTTCTTGTAACTAGCCTCTTACGCTTAGCATGAGCTCCTCCGCCCAAGCAGAACAAATTCATTGTTAAAGTCTGGTAAATCTTAAGGGCTTTGTATTCTAGGTGCTTATCATACAACAATGTGACTATTTAAAGCATACACCTAACGGTAAGAAGGAAAGAACATGGAGCTTCCCCATGTCCAACATCCAGGCCCTAGAATTACCTTCGTTTGTCATTCTTGTCCTCGCCATCCGGAAGATCTTTAGTTACTGGGAAACCAGAATATTCTTCTACAAACTGCTGAGGCTAAAACAGGGCAGCCCCTCTGAACAATAAAGTATGCTTTTGTTTTGTTTTTCCATTTGAAATATAAAACAATATGGAGAAATTGTTAGTAAGCCCATGCCAAGTCCCATTTTATTAATATGCCTACCAATACATTTAACATGAAACAAACAAACTCACCAATCTACCAACATCACAAGTAATCTTTACATCCAGATTTAAGCTAGTTGTGGAAAACTCTCACATATTTTATAGCTTTTAAGTTGTTAAAATCACCTGGAAAGACGGATCCCCAATTGAAGAGTTGCCTTCATCGGATTGGTCCTTGGGCATGTGCATTGGAGCATTTTTTTTTTCTTCCCTTTGATTAATGATTTATGGAGGAGGACCCAGACCACTGTGAGCAATGCCACGCCTGGGCAGCTGGCCCTGGTATTTACAATAAAGTGGGTTGAGCAAGCCATGAACCTCAACCCAACAATCCAATAAGCGGTACTCCGCCATGCTGGAAGCTTCATTTTCTACCTAGCTCCCTGCCTTGAGTCCCTCCCCTGGCTTCTCCTGCTGACAGACTGTGACCTAGAAGCTGAAATAACCCTTCCCTCCCAAGCTGGTTTTGGTCAGCACTTTATCACAGCAACAGAGACCAAATTGACAGAAATTGACACCAGGAATGTGGTGCGCCGCTGTGATGAATCTGGCCCTGTTGTTCTGGGAAGGACTGTGAGAAGATTTTGGAGCTTTGGGTTAGAAAAGGTCTGTGTGGCCTCAGAGCTTAACGAGCTGGCATTGGGTGCTTGAAAGACAGAAATGTTGAGAGATGGACAGATGATGGAGGCCTGGCTCATGAAGCTTCAGCTAAAAGAAGATTCTTTACTAGAAATAAAATGCCATAAATTAAATAAAGGTGTGGTTGTACACACCTGAACTCCTGGCACTAGGGAGGCAGGGGCCGGTGGATCTCTGTGAGTTCAAGGCCAGCCTGGTCTACAAAAGGAGTTCCAGGACAGACAGGGCTATAACATAGAGAAATCCTGTCTAGAAAAACAAACAAAAAGATGTGTGTGGGGGTGGGGGGGGGACAGAGGAAAGAAGGAAGGAAGGAAGGAAGGAAGGAAGGAAGGAAGGAAGGAAGAGCCTTTCCTCTAACACTCCTTTCACAGCCTGTGGTTCCAGCAAGCAGGTTGAGTGGGCTGCCGCGGAAGCTGGCACTCACCTTCACAAGTTCCGTGTAGCCAGTCTCCCTGGGGGTCCACCATGGCTGAGCCTTTAGGCCATTCACATTGTAGAGGGAACGCTGCCAGACGGAGGCGAAATGTCCTCTCTTGTGCCCAAGCTCATACCACTTATATGCCTGAGAGAACAGAAAGGCTGCTTGACACCGCTATTTTGGAGGAAAGATTTCTAGTTCAAATTAAAGGAAGTAATGTAAGCTGATACAGATGCTCCTTGAGTTGCGGTGCGACCATCTTGCAGACCCACTGTAAATACTCTACATTGAAAACCTCCTTCTCCCAGGGCACAGCATACTCTTCTTTAGCACCAAAGTTCCTGCAGGGGGATCTTTGATACTCCCCATGATGTATGACAGACAGGGCCATAGCTCACAGCCACTGCTCAGCATCACAGGCAGTATGGTGCTATATATTGCTGTCCTGGGTGGAACTCAAAAGCCAAAATTTGAAGTGTAGGTTCTACTAAATGCGAACTGCTTTCACACCCTACAAAAGTGAAAAAATTCTGACTCTTCTTAATTCAGAGACTATCTCACTTTGAGATAATTAATGAAGATCTTACCTGATGAGATCTGATGAAAATTCTGTGGTTTACCGGAGCTTCTATAAGTGTTTAGGATAAGTGAACACTAGCATTTATTTTAACTCTCAAGCTGTTAGCTCCATGGAGTCTGGATTCATGCCCCACCTATTTTGGTTTCCAAATATCTAAGCCAGTTTAGAACTAATTTGTTCAGTAGACACATAACTTAAGATGCCAAAGGAGGCCATGTTTGTATTTAGCCTTCATTTTGTAAGCTCTATTTTTATATTTTCTTTAAGAGGGGTGGATTATGATTTAAACCATCTCAATTACTATTTACTAAATCGTGCTGCTAAAATCAAAAGTAATTTCTTTTCATAGTAACTTTCTCTGATGTCCTATGGTGACAGAATAAATAAAAGGAAAATACTGTTCTGAGTTGGCAATAAATAGGATGGTAGCCCATATCTGATGTTTTAGGAGGACACTTTTGTTCACGGTGGACTACATTTTCTGTAGTAAGGGACAGTGCTCATGGCTTCAGTCTGGCTCTTGTAATACAACTGGCACCAAGGCTAGCTTTTTCAGGGACAGCTGGCAACAGAGTACTTGCCCCACGTGACTGGTCCAAATGACCTCTGCCCTCTGCCCTCTGCCTCCCAAGTGGGCCTCCCCAAAGCTGCCTGCCCATGTGCCCATTGTCCTTGGAGAGGGGTTTCCACTGGCAGCCTAAATAACATCTCCGCCATAGCTGGGTCTGGTCTCAGGATTGCTAGTTTGAGAAAAAAAGTAATTATAGGACAACTCAAACAGCAGACAGTGCCTTACACTGCAACCCTCAAGGTCTTAGGTTTGAGGTTGCTGGATGCCTGGACAGCTGGGCCTGATGGGGGATATCATTATGTATGCAGTGAATATATGTTTCTCTTATTGGTTGATGAATAAAGCTGTTTGGCCAATGGACAGGCAGGATGTAACCTGGCAGGAAATATAGGCGGGGCTACCAGACTAGGAGGATTCTGGGAAGAGGAAGGAGAGAGGAGCCTCCAGAGAAATACTATGTAGCTACCAGGAAGCTAGGACGCCAGGCATTCTTAGGTAAGCCAAGACCACTTGGAGATACTTCATTAATATAAATGGGTTAATAACTGAGAGAGCTAGCCAAATAAGAAGCCTGAGCCATCAGCTTATGAGTAATATAATCCTCAGTGTGTTATTTGTACTAAAGGGCTGTGGGACCTGGTAGGACAGAAACTTCATCAGCCAAGCAGTTTATAATCAATATAAGCCCCTATGTGTTTATTTGGGACTAAGTAGTCATGGGACCAGGTGGGACAGAAACTTCCTTCTACCTGGGCCCTTACATTTCCTCTAGGTTTGAGGCTGCCCTGAGTTAGATGCCTGAGCGGGGCCCTTCTAGTTCCTGTTCACACTGCTTTACAGCCTGTTCTCATACAGTATCCACTACAAACTGAGTAAGAGCCTTGATTTTGCACTCCTATATCATTTCCCCTTCATCAGAAATAAAATCCTCATAATGATAGACCTGAAATTTAAAAATGCTTCTACTGATATATTACAGAATGGACTCAGCAAATTAGGCTAGATTTAAAAACATACAAAATCACAACAAACCTTTGTAGAAATTCAGTCAAGTAAGAAACCTGTGTAAGAACAAAGGAGCTCAACCTTTGTTCTTATTTATCAAAAGTTTGATACCACAATGAAGAATAGAGTCGACAGCAAGAGTTCTCCGGCTTTCTTCAGATGGGCTAATGAACCCAGGCCTGCTCCTCAGAAGTGGCCCTCGGGAAGGAATGAAAAGAGCAGGAGCCAAGGCGGACCCCAATAGCAACAAAGGGGCCAGAGTCAGAGTTTAGGAGGAAAATAGCTCAGAGGAGAAAGGTGAGCTTGCTGTGCGATCCCCACGCCCCCTCACTGGCAGTATTGTGAATCTGCACTTGGAATGAGACTAGATATGAAGACAAAACTGGACTGAAGTTAGGGAACCTCTGAAGCTTGACCGCTACAGGGCTGCCATGGCCAGTCTTCCAGTCCATTTTCTCACCAGCCTCTGCAGCGGAGGCTCTAGGCTTGCCTCTCACCTCCTTCCCTTCAGGATGGGAGTGAGCTCCGTGGAAGAAAGCACGGGGTGGGGGGAGCAGCTGCTTCCCAGCAGGTGAGTTCTGACACACAGACTCAACAGCTAGTTTTGGGCTACCTAACACGGGGGGGGGGGGGGGTGCTTCTTCGGCTTGTTTCTGTTCCCTGCCTGACGGGTTAATCCTTGTGAATTTCACAAATTCAGGAACTGTGTTCTGATCTTTGCATACTAACGACAATTATGCTGGTAGAACAGTCCCCCAGGCTTAAATACCAGGCTCATAACAAGTGTTCAGTAGTGAATTCATTGTCCTTGAAGTAAGAGCTGTTTTCATCTAAGGTAGGAGATGAAGTAGATTTCTTTTATCTGTCTTTGCCCTGTACCATGAAATGTTCAAAGATAAATTAATTAGTGACAATTACATTTACAGTAGTTGAACATGACTTTTTACCCAGCATTGGAGACTGTGGCAGACACTTCCTTCTCCTTCTCATTCAAAGGAGGGTTCTTTCTACATCAAAAACCAAGAAGGAACAAAATAATGGATACCCATCAGTGATGTCTTCTCCCGTCTTTCCCTTCACTTCTAATGCCATATCCTATTTTAGTCAAAGGATTGGTAGGTTAAAGGGGGGTAAGGTACAAGTAAAGAGAAATGTAGACAGGAGATAAAGTCCATCATCCAAACCTCTGTTGCTCTGAATTCATTCCTCTTTCTTGCAGGACACTGCATAGTCATGACCCTCCCCTTCCTTCCTTCTGAGTTTTTGGCTATCCAGAGGGTCTTATAGTCTCACTGAGTTTAGAAATTTGAAGCTATGTTGTCCTTATGTGTCACTTATGGAGGGCAGTGGTTACCAAGAGTCACTGTCCCATTTGTCCTTTTATCTTCAGACTCTGAAGACAGCTGACTCAGAATTCCCACATGGTATAGGATGGAAGAGGGCGGCCTAATTGTGTTGCCAGCATGTAAGTCATAGTGGACTGTAACAAGGCTAGAAATTCATGGCACATGATTTCACGACTAATGTCATGTTTATACAAGATGACAACTGTACTCAGGAAACAAGGTAATCACAAAGATAATATGCCACTTGTTTTAGTTACAACATCTGTCTGTGTGTGTGTGTGTGTGTGTGTGTGAGAGAGAGAGAGAGAGAGAGAGAGAGAGAGAGAGGCAGAAAGTTGGTACCTGTCATTATCCTAGCAACAAATGTTCAGTTTAAATTTAATATGACAATTACATAGTTATTCATTAAGACCATGGTGTTTAGGCATTAGTCAAACAGTTCTGGAAATAACCACTGCAGAAATTCCAAAAATAAAACAAAAATTACACTCTGTAAATGGTTTTAAAACTTAAAACAACTTTAGAGACCTCTATATTTCTTAATTCAGATACTTTTCCAAGGCAGCATTTACCTTTCTCTACACATACAGATACACTCAGACATACCCACTAGTACACACACCCCAAAAGAGGCACGTTTCAGATTACTTATTTGAAGATGTAGCAAACAGTCAATCCAAATCCCAAAGGTCTTATAAGAATACTGCCTTAATAATTTGTGTGAAACATGTTTGTTAACTTCTAATTGGTTCCTAGAAGAAATAGTCCCTCCCCACTGCATCATCCACTGGAGTAAAGTCACAAAGCCAGTAATACCTCTTTGTTCCCGACCCTCTGCATGGCGTCTCCCAAGTGGAAATAAAACCGGCCGTCATCTGTACCAGGGTCCCCGGATTCGATCCCTTCCTGGAAAAGGACAGTATTACCATGTAAAGGGTGACATTTCAGGTCTCATTCCTTGTTTTGTGTAGATTTTCTTTATGTGTGAACCACAATATCCCACATGAAAACCCAAGATTCTGAAAATTATATCTCAATATTAAAATCTGACAGTGAGGCTGGTCCACATTTTACAGTGTAAAAAATGAAATTATCAATCTAAACTTAACAGTACAGCTATCATTAATAGTGGCCTCGGCCATAAATTAGTATGCGGCTCTGTGTACTTCTACAGTGGGAGCAATCATATTTCAATACTGCAGATGATTTCTCTGGCAGAGTATTTTCACATTTATTTTGCTCTCCAAGTCTGACCATATGCCACCTAAAGGCTTTTTATCCCCGAACCCAAACACTTCATTGCTCATGTGTCAAGTGATGACAGTCAGAGTATAAGTGATATTTCTTTCTACCCCAAACAAATGTGTCACAAGCACTTAATGGAACTTCTTACTAAATTTACAGGATTCAAGCCAACCGGAATTTTGACACATGTAGTTTTTACTGAACAATTTCCATTGTGAAATGCTTTGCTATTATTTTTTCCCACTTTTCACACAAGCACTGGAATTGAGATTTTTGTCAAAAAAAAAAAAAAAAAAAAAATCAACCAAAGTCTGAAACAGTTTAATAGCAAGGATTTATTTTCTGAGAATTTGCATCTTTGAGGTCTCCCCACAAAAGACTTGTTATCTGAGGGCTGGCAGACGGCTCAGCGGGTGGGGCACTTGCTGCCCAACCTGATGACTTGAGTTTCAGGGCCCACATGTTGCAAGGAGAGAGTCAGTTCCTGCAAGTTGTTCTCTATTCTCCACGTACAAGATGTGGATGCAATGCTCCACATACATGTGGTTTAAAAAAATAATAGTAGTGTACACACACACACACACACACTTAAAAGGTCATTATCTTCTCCCTGGAGAAACGTTATTTGCACAATGTTGGAATTGCTGGCACGGAGTTTGTTAAATGTCTGCCCTAGCTCTTGTTTCCCCGCTGATGTAGCTGGGAAAACACTATCAGGCCTCCAGAGTGAAAGGGGACGGGAGGGTACTTTAAATCAGACCAACACACACACCCTCATGGCCCCAGAAAGGACGGAAAGGTTTGCAGTGTCTGATGATAGCCGGGACAGATGAGAATACACGCCAACTAGAGGCACCACCGCTCGGCTCTAAGCCCCAGGGTTGTGGACTAAATAGGAGACCAGAAGTCTGTGTGACTACGCACAATGTGGGAACTCTCAAGAAAGGCAACAATTGCAGCGGTGTGGATTATTTGAGGCAGCCACAGAAGCCAGCCATACTGCTACTGTGATGGGGGTCGGAAGCTCTCGCCAGCTACCTGTACACACTGTAGCTCTTCTCTGTAGCAGAGCTTGCTCTTAGTCACCCTATCCTTATTATTCAAACAAAAGCAAATCGGACTTACATAAACTTGAATTCTCTTCCTCAGTCATAGTGACCACACTTTCGATGTTCAGTGGTCTCATGTGGTGGGAGTGAATAATACACCTAAGTGACATTTCTATTACAGCAAGAATTTTATTCAGTGGCCCTGACCAAGACCAAGTGTGGTTCTGGTAAGCTGCCCAGGCTTCAGTTTAATATAGCAGGAAAAGCAACAATATATTTTAGGACTTCGAGCCATTAGCCAAGCCTATGTAGTCTACATGCAATGGAGGCAGCTGGAACCCCTTTAGAGCAGACTTAATTAATTTGTGAAGACAGCACTTAGCACGCTGCCTATTTTTTAAGAGACTCGTTAATGAATTTTGTCTACTTTATGCCGATATGTAAAAACTATGCTGGGGAGGAATGAATGGCCAATATATGCTATGTAACAAATGTAAATAAATGTCATAATGAAATCTGTTATTTTAGATCAATTGGGGAATGCCAATTAAAATGAAAACCACTTTATAATGCTTTAGTTGAAGAATTTCTTGCTAAGCACTTTTCCAAACAGTTCATGTTGTTAGTGGTCAAGTCTGTAGTGTCTCTTGCAGCTCCCTGTACTTTGGCCTTCACAATGAGGTACTGTTTTGGGAGCTTAAAGAGACTTTCTTGAGGAGTAGGGTCAGCAGGGGTGGACCTTGGAAATTATTTGGCTTCTATCTTGAAATCCTGTTTAGTGGTCTGAGACTACAATGTGTCACCCATTTCTGCTACCACGAGCTCTGCTGTGCCATCCCATTGACCCAGAGCGATTCCCAGGAACTAGGAGCCCAAATGAAATATTGCATAAATGGATTCTGTTGGGAATTTTGGCAACAGTGACCCCAAATAAAGCACCTCATGTGGTTGGTGACTCTGGACGACATTCAGTCAGGGTGTAGGTACCTACTGCCAGCCTATGAAGCATGCACCCCCATGCTAGGAAGCCTCTACAGTGCATGCCAAACTACTAGAAGGATAACCAAAGCGGGTCTCAAGTGATTCCAGGGAGTGAGCGGACGGGAGGAGGCCATGGCAGATACCTTTAGGTAGGGAATGCTCTCGGCTATCTTGTTCTGCGCCTTCAGGATGAAGCCGTAGTGGACTTTAGCAAAGCCATCATTTGGTGTCACGCTCAGAACCTGAATTCAAAGAAAACAAAGAGCTATTGTGACAGAGAAGGAAGTGTGCAAGCGACTGTCAAAACAAATTCGACTTGGTTTGGCTGTACTTGGGGTCTCTAATGATGTTCCAGCTTCAACACTATGGTGGCAGTTTGTGTCACTGCTATCATCAAACAAAACAGACTCACTGCCTCTCAACTCCAGATGCTCTCACACTGAGTCGCTGAAAAAATGCTGTGAACGAGAAGGTAGTCGCTGCTGGGGTGTGGCTTTAACACTGCAATCAGAAAAATCAATTGATATATGACTTCCAAGTTTTTCAGTGATTCGAGGAAAATCACTCTGAATCTTACACATTGCTTTATATATACACGCCTCATCATATCAGGGCCCACTCATTCACTGAGACAATCACCAGTGGCCACTGAAGTTAGGGGCAGAGGGTGACATGAAAGAATCTGGAGCAAACTGCTGCAGGTGTGTAGTGACCATAAAGGCAGCTATCGTGGCATTATGGGGCATTTCCTTGACCATAAAAATGGTACCTGCTGTGGAGCGATCCCACATCCCTACCGAGGGCTCAGCGCCACTCCCAAGGCTGAACTGCACCAACAGTAAACCCACACTGAATGATGAGGGTGTGTCTGACAGCTGTAACCAAACAACTGCCTGTATTTTTCATGGGTGTGGGAGTGAAAAATACCCCAGGAACTATTACAGGTTTAACATACCAGCAGCTGGGAGTCGAGCCCTGTGGGTCTCGAACAGCCACACTGAAGAGTTTTAAATGTGGGGAACCTGTGTGTTAGCCTGGCGAGCCATCAGTTGAATTCTTTGATTCTACGCTGAGGCTGTACCCAGAATGGCTGAGGACCTGAGTGTATCACCTGTGTCTTGCTTGTGCAACCTTTTGGAGGTGGGAGAGTACTTTGAAATAACCAGCTTCAAGAATTGTGAATGAATGAAGATGAATCCTTGGGAGCACAATGGGTACTGAATATAAAATGCGTGGGGAAAAAAATGCAACAGTCTGTGACAAAGCCCAGGTAGATATTTCAAATGAGGTATCCCATTGCTCATTACTACATGCATTTATTATGACTTGAAGATAAAGTATGCAAAATGCCTCCAAATTACATATTAGAAGCGAGAAATCAACACAAAAGCATTCAACTTGTGAAGCTGCGTAGGAAATGAATTTCTTGAACAAAGTGGAAGATGAAGAAGAGCTGAGTGGTACTTGTGGGCTGATGATGCCTGAGTACCTCTCCTCTCTCTCTCTGAGACAGTTAGGTCACGTGAAGTCACAGCTATCCCGGGAACTTTACAGAGGAAGAGCAAGGAATCTAGCAAGGGGCCACCACGAGTCACACGAGCAAATGTTAAATTGTGCTCTGTCTATTCCTACCACACAGCTAGCTCACTGTAGTAGCATTTCCAGCAGAGGAATCAGCTCGGAGACCACTGATCCAGAGGTCTAACTTAAAGAATAACAAGCACCCATATCCATCTTTGTTTTACAGGTGTTAGCTTTCCCCTGATTCAAAATTCATTTGACATCCTGTTTGCTTTGTGCCAAATAAATGCCCTCATTGCCTAAAGGAGCCCGTTTCTTTAGGTTTTATAGATGCTTGAGACTTAGTGGCTTTCTGTTAAAATGTCCACTATAATGTAGAAATCTTTTGAAAGTCATCCTGGTCAGCCGATTGGATCATCAATGCCCTTTTGAAAACAGTATAATCTACTACTATTGCCTGAGAGGCTTATACTGCAAAACTTGAAAACATTATAATTTTTACATTTATTAACTTCATTATTAACTTTCTTCCTGTTCCTATCACAAAGAAACCCCTTAGAAAGTTGTCTGTAGACTGATAAAAAAAATTAAATGTTAGAATAGCAGTTAACTAAAATTTAAATTGCTCCAGTCAAGATACAGGGTGAATATGGTCAGTGTATGTGTATACTTGAGTAGTCTTTATGGGACATGTCACTCTATACAATGGAGACATGCCAATAAAGAAAAACAATAATGAAAAACAGGGTAAGAAAAACTGGATATGGTGGCAGCTGGAAGGCTGAGGCAGGAGGTTTGTCATGAGTTTGAGACCAGCCTGTGTGGGATGTGACATTCTGGGTCCTGGGTAGGGGAAAAAAGAGACATGGGAAAACCCAGTCCAGTGTATCCCAGACATAGCAAGTTACATGCTATTTCCTCCAAGACAAAGAGAACAAGACACCCTGCATAGCACATGTAATTTCCCACCAGCACTTGAACTTACCATACAAGATAATCAGTGTGGCCCACAGAAGGCCTGGGCTTACCTCTTCATAAACCTTCTTGGCACTGTCATTGTCTCCCATCAAGAGATATCCTACACCAAGGTCGTTCTTTAATGTCGTATCACTAGGAAACAGCTGAACTAGCCTCTGGAGGGTAAGTAGGGAACCTCTCATGTGACCTGGTGTTGGAAAAAACAATGAATAGGAATAAGAATATTATGTGCGCCTTAGTACTGTGAGTACAAACCAGGACAGCAGACTTAACAGAGCCTGAAAAACACCTTACATCTGACCCCTGACCTCCTTCATCTATGAATGGATTCTGAGAAGCACAGTCATAATGCTATACGAATTGCTATACGTGGATACTAACTACAATGTCAACCATAAATCGTAAAGACTGGTTTTCTGAGTCAATCCACATTTACACTTTCACCTCAAATCCCTTCTTCAGGAAATGTCAGCTTTCTAATTCCTGAGGATAAGGCCCTGCTGAGCCCTTGTGGGTTATTAGCTTTAACGTTTTTAGATGGAGGGGAGATAATGAAAAGTCTGACTCGGGGCTGAGCCGTCAGCACAAACTGAAATGGGCACGGAGGGATGCGGAGCAGGGCTTCCCTGCAGATGCCTTCTCTAGCTAACACAAGTCCCTTGTCTCTCGGTGCTGAGCCAGTTAAAGCTCAGAGGAGACATCTTGCAGTACTAGGGGAGCCTCTGGTGGACGGCAGGCTATGGTGCACTCCATGGCTCAGGAAACCCCAGCTGCTGTTGACTCGGTGGCTTTCAGAGGCAATCAGTCTGGGCTACCATCACTGCTCTTTGTCATAAACTGCAAAGGAAAAGAAAGAGCTAGGAAAGGCGAGCACTAGTGAACAACTACGTTAGGGGACCAGCTGCCTGCAAAAGGGGCATTAGTCAGGAGGAAGGCAGCTGTCCAGCTCTGGCGGAAAAGCCGGTCCACACACTGCATGGGCTGCAGCCCACTGCTGGCCAATGCTATTCAATCCAACCGGAACTCCAGTGCTGTTGTCCAAGCCGCCATGACAAATCGCTTTCTTTTCTGTACACTTCAGTCTCCCTGCCTGCCCACCCGGGCTCAAGCTTTCCTTCTGCCTTGGAATTTCTCCTAGTAAAATGATGACAGCAGTACGGACCAAAGAAGGGACAGACACCAAGTTAGCACTCTGCATCTCACCCAGGAACTGCTGTCTTTCGGAACGCCGCTTCAAGCTCAGCCTCACCAGGTCTGTGGGGGCGTCGGGCAGGCTAGCTGCCTCCTGGTAGGTCTCGATGGCCCTGCGCAGAACCTCATTGCTCCTCCTCTTCTCGGCCAAGTCATCTTCACACTAGGGGACAGCCCCAGACAGATCAATGTCCCATGACCTCTATGCTTGTCATTTCCCCCAGAGATTCAGACAGTTAACTTTTAGACACGCTGCTTAAAGAGAAAACCGGCCCTTCCTTTGGCTGATGATGCATAAACGAAAGCAGGGCAACGGCTGTTCAAGTATCAGGAGGAAAAGGCTGCTACTAAGGTGCAGACGAGGAAAACTATAAGATCAAGACGATACTTCCTAGGGCTGGTGGGGATGGACATCATACTATGTGAGAACATGATACACACAGGAGTCTAGTCTGTAGTATGCTCTTTCAGTTGTATGTTCCGTGACTCGTTCATTCCAGCCATTCATTCACTTAGCAGCTCTTTTCTGGGGTCAGCGTGTGTCACACTAATTGAACAAATGAGGGCGAGCTCTTTCCTCATTTTGCTTCCATTTAGGAAAGGACAAAATGACAAATACAAACAAAGGTGCTGTGCATGGAAACAACGGGCTGCAGCGTGATGAATGTGGAGTGGGAAAATTACTGGTTTAAACAGAGAGTCAGGGGAGTCTAAAGGAGGGGACAGACGGTGTGTGAGGTTACTGGGAAAGATTTCTAACACAGAGAGAATAGCTGGGCAGTGGCTTTGTGACACACTGGGGAACAAAGGGAAGGCTGGGAGAGAGGTGACAGTGGCCTCAGGTGACTCAGGGCCTGGAAAGCTACTGAGGATCCTGAACTATTCTGTGGGGAGAAAGATGTGGATTTTTCACTCGACTTAGTGTCTTGAAGGGAACCAGGGGGTTGTGCTAGCCACAGTACTGAGAACAGCCTGAGGGAAGAGTGGAAGGCGGGAGGCCAGGCAAGAAGCCAGGCATGGGATGGCAGTCTCCTGGGCTGATGCAGCAGTGATGAGTGGTAGGAAGAGATGGGATTGCAGATTCACCTTGATAGCCAGGGCAAGACGTCTACGGATGTAGTGACAGAAGAGACAGAGAGAGAGAGTGAATTCAGGGTTTGGTGTGAGTGGCCACTTGACTGAACTGTCATCCCCTGAGAATGGGAGGGTAGGTGGGTCTTGGGGAAGCATGGAGTCAGGAGTTCAGTTTTGGACACAGTCAGTGAAACATCAAGTGGAGGTGAACACTCAGAAGGTCGCTTTCTGGATGAGGAGCTCAGGGAGAGGTTGGCGTTAAGGACGCATACACGGGAGTTATGAAGGATGGATGTGGTATTTAGAGTTGGCAAGCTAGAAGAGTCTTGAGTGTAGACTCAGAAGATTCCATGAAAAACCCTCCAATTATCCAATGTTTCAAGATCCTTAGAACTTGGGGAGACACAGAAAGATGATAAAGGGGATAAAGAATGAGTTACATAGGAAGAATACAACACAGAAATGCCCCAGTGGGATACAAGGGTTCTAAGAGGAAGAGAAGACATACGCTCCAAGTGACCGCCAAGATGGACAAGAGGAAGACAGCAAAGAGAATATAATGGACTTGTGGAGCCTCAGTGGTCCTGGCATCCTTGTTTCCATGGATTTGCTGAAGACATGCATCAGAACGGAGCTGTGTGAAGAGAACATGGGAAGGATGGAGATAACTCCTTGAAGCGGTTAGCGGCAACAGGAACCAGAAAAATGAGTCTCCAGGTAAAGAGGGGAGAGAACCCAGGGAGAAGTCGTCATGATGAGATAACACATCTTCTTACTCAGTAGATACAAGAAAAAAAAAAAAAAAACAAAACCAGCAGAAAGGGAAAAATCTGATGACAAGAAAGGGCACAACCACATGGAAGTCTTCTAGTAGAGGAGGACAGCTCATATCTGCCAATGGATGGATAGAGAGTATCAGTACAATTGTGAAAGAGGGTAAAGTCTCTGGACACTTTCATTTTCCTAAAACAACACCCAAGACCCGCAGCTTCAGATGGAAAATTCGGAATGAAATACCAGAGGCAGGGAAAATAGTGGGGAGTGTGTGAGGTGGACCTCAACAGCTCATCAGATTTTACAGACTTTCATTTAAAGATCAGCATTCAAGAAAAATTATAGCAGTTTAATGCTGAAAGTAGTATATAATTTTGTAAACATCAGAATGTGTGGATATGATTACTATTTAACATAAACTGTGTGCTGGGTTAGTATGAAATGTCTAAGGACTTGGTAAGAAAATCCTCATATCTCCTCCTTCAGATGGCAAGCCATTTGTAAGAACCAACACCAACTGATAGACATCTGTGAGAATGTTCTTTGCAGAAAACAGCACATCAGTAAGAAAAATGTGCGAACATGTACTGGCTAGATAGAGGGCTCAAATGAAAGCCATGAATAGAAGTGGATTCAGAAGGGACAAAAATGTGTTAGGAAAGACATGGCTAAGATTAGTAAACAGCAATTCAACCTTGTTGGATGGAACTACACATCAGACCATTCAACTAGCTTTTCAAATCTGCCCTAGGCTCATGCAGCAGATTCAGTTCCCAGGACAGGAAGTTCCATGTCAACAATCCATCCTGGTCACGCATCCTTCCACTGACTATTGATAGCCCGCTTTTCTGCTTAACCATCAGCTAATTGTGGGTGTGGCTATAGAGATTAATGTCCAAGACCATGAATAGAGACAGTTGACTGAACAGAGACAATGTCCCTAAGCTGAGGGAATTCTACCAGGAGTCTGCAGAGCCACCCAACAGGGCTGAAGTCTTTGCAAACACCAACCTCCATAATCCATCCACACCTTCAAAGAGAGAAAGGCATACCATCCATGTGCTTGGGTCTCAAGACCTTGGCACCTTCACTTTAGGCAAGCCTAAGTACCAAAATAACATAAAATTCTTACGAACTCTGATGAGCGAAGCTAGCAGCATTTGTTTGGAAATTGGAAAGGGACAGAATGATTAGTTTTTAACAGTTTTATATCTATAGATCACACAAGCCAGCCTGAAAGTGACATTTCTGTCACATTCTATGGATGGACTAATTTATCCAAACTGCCTAGGGGATGTGTCACTTTGTACCCTAGAGCTACTAATGACTTGTGAAAGATAATGAAGTTAATTCAGTTAACGATTTAAAATTTTTGTGGTCACTGTTTAGGGAACTTCATCAAAATTGGTTTTCGAAGAGATCCAAGATTAGCATGTAATCAGTGATACTTAAAAATATAGACACTATAGTTTGTTTTTGACTTGGTGTTGACTAAGATCTGGTGAGATATTGCAAAGAAATTGCTTCATTTGCTAACTGAGAATTGGAAAAGTCATAATTTAGTCCTCCTTACAAAATTTGTCTAGTTTTAAAAACTCCCATAAATTTAAAGTTTCCTTTAAATTACTCTATTAAAACATAATTTGCTACGCTTAACTTTTGTTTTATGCCACATTAGTGTTAATATCAATAACATCTGTAGCATAACATTTTACAGATTAAAAAATACTGCCTGAGGCCCACATCTTAAATTCCTCCTGTGAAGGAAAGCTGCACATATGGAGATCACTACGTTCCAGAGGGTCCAGACCATGATTAAAGCCACACATGGAGAAAACTCAGAAAGCACAAACCAATTTGCCATAAGTAACATTTACACATTTTCGCTGCAGTTCACGGGCTTCCCATGACCAAAGGATTGGATACTAATGACAAAACACACCACTTATCTGGACATTTTGGATCTTTTGGTAACAAACATTCTCTCTCAATAGCAATGTAGCTTCCCAATGTTAGAAGATTATGGCTCATTTAGTTTACTAAAACCACATAGTCGTCACTATGCAGTGTACCTGGCATGTACCAAGGACAAGGGAAACTTATTTGTAGTAATTTGTTTTGCAAATTTGATTTAGGTAAATTTAACTAAAGGAAATGTAATTAATTACTGTCTAATGGGATAGAAAGACTGAGCAGCTGGATCTCAAGTGGTCTCCACCTCCAGTTCAAAGTGAGACATGCTGTCCTGCTGTAGCTGTATCGCAAGCTGTGAGGGTAACACACAAGGGGCTAACGCCTGCTTTTCCCTGGTCCACTAACTTCTGTAGCTCTCTACCCATTGCTCCCCAGTCTGACTGGTCATCTCCTTTGGCGCAGGATATGGGATGAGGGATGCCCCAAATCCTGAGTTGGAGGCTGCTGCTTGACAAAATTCCAACAAAACTTTGTCAAGAGATTGGGTCTCTGGCTTGTGGCCTTTTCGCTTTTAGGAGCAGTTGCTTGCATGATGGAGAGTTTCTGCTCGTGCAGCCCTCAGGGAAATAGATATAGTTATGTTCCAGAGAGAAAACTGAGAGTCACAGAAGACTCTTCCTTTTACCCCAAGGATCGGGACCAATAGAGCAGATTCTGAGAAAAGTCTGCTCAGGTCTGGATACAAGATGTTACAAGTATACCCATTGCCCTATAATGAAGCCTTATGCCAGGGTCTTCCTTTCTGGGAGCATATATAAAGAACAAGTCTCTACTCTAAAACTAAGGAACAGAAAAATGCTATAAGCAGCCAGTTCAATGCTCATTATGACATATTTTGTAAAGCTTACATTTTAGAAACCATCAAAAGGGTCTACCCATAATTTGATTGAGGCAAACAATAATTTTATTGTAACCACATGAGCAGACCACTGTAAAATATAGAAGGTCCTATGCTTTGCCAACCCTGAGAAATTTGTAATTTCTTGATTTGACAGCCTCTGTCCAAAGATGTTTCAGATAAGACTGTTTTGCACTTTGCTTTTTCACCCTGGGCAATTAATGAGGAAGTAGAAAAGGGATCCAGGGCTCTGATGCTTGTCAAATGATTTATATAGTCAGTATGCTATACAAATAAGAGTCTCTCTGGATGACGGAGAGAGAGCTGCTCAGATATGCAGCAGCCCCTCCTCTTTGGTACCTGAACCCCCGAAACTAGACTTCGACACTCTTCTCTCTCCTTCAAGAAGGACTACAGGAGCTTTACTCCTTGACATTTTTTTTTCCACCAGTCTGGCTTTACTCAAATTCCAAATTCCACAAATCTAGTGGTCTCCTTGATGCAGCAATATGAATACCTAATAACCATTGCAATGGCAAATTTCTTATCAACAGCTGTTCTGCTTGACCAGTAACTGGCATTACTTTCTCCTCAGCTATTCACAACAAACCAGGAATCACTGGCCAATCCTTTGTCCTTGACCCTTCCATCTCTCTATGCATGCCCGTATTGACCCCCACAGCCAGGCCACGGGACATGCCACCGGCACCTCAGCATACCACATTGTAACGGCCACCTACTTTCCATGCATCTGATTCTGCCCTCATAATTCATTTTCCAATTGGCAACCAAAGCAATCTTTACAATACGCCACCAGATGGTCACCTGCACGAATAATAGCCTCCAAAGGCTTCCCTGGGCATGGAGGGCAAGAGCTGTGAGGAGTACTGGCCTCTGTGTCTGCCCCTGTCCCCCTTCCCCCCCGGCAGCCCTTCCTTTCAGCTCGGGTTTCTGATGCCAAGAGAGTTGCCACAATCATGGCCTTTGCCTATCTGTTTCCTCTACCTAGACAGCTCCTTCCATGACCTTGACACATCTCAGCTACTGTCCCCTCCCATGAAAGTGCTGCCTGCTCTGTCACCTTTGCTCATATCACCTGCAACCAAGACTCAATAAATGTGCTCGCCCAGTCTCCTTGCCTCCCATTGCCTCCTCTTCAGCTTACAGCACACACAGCTGGGTATTATGATCGGATATACTCACGATCGTCTACAAAACCGCCCAAGGCTTAGCTCAAGTATTGCCTCTCTGGCACCCTGTTTGTCCTGTGACCCCCTCACATGTCCAGTGACTGTACCCTGCTTCCTTTTTATTCTCCTTACAGCCACTGCTGGCGTACCTATGCATGGCACATCTTGTTTTAAGCGGCCTCTTTCCTTCATAATGGAGCTTTGTGAGTACATTTTGCTGCGGGATCTCTCTCCATTACTCAGCAGAGTTGGACACACAGTGGGTTCTCACTACATATCTTTAGAGTAAGTAGCCTCCAGTTGTCTCTGGGTTATATTTGAAACAATTTCAATTTATCGGCACATTATAATAATTGACACCTTGCTGTCTGAGAAAGAGCAAACGGGCAAACAAGCCTTTCTATGCAGAGTCTGGTCTTCCTCTGGCCCACACCACAGCAGGCGACATCCTTTGCCTTAGTCATCCAAGGGCTAGGTACTCTGCAACTAGAAGCCATTCCTGTAGCCCTGGACTCGCCAGTGCTGTTCGCACTAGGCAATCCTGGACTCATCCCTCCACCCGACCTTGCTTTTTGTAAAAGGTCACTCCAAGGCAGACTTATTATCATCAGTCTCCAAATGGAGCCTAATAGCTCCAAAGAGCCTGAAATGAAAACCATGAGAAAGTCCAAATGGAAGGGGCCGGCCAAGGATGGCAGAGGACCAATGGCAAACGTATCCGCCACTTTTATTCCCTTTGTAAAACTGGAGGCAAGTCATCTGGTGTTACCAAACTGGATATACGCAGTATTGAAAACTGCCTCAATTAAAATCATGTGTTTTCCCTGTATGTGTGTATGTATACATATATATGTGGGGGAAATGACCTAGAAACGTAAGAGTATGAATCTGATCACAGGGAATTTGTGAGCACCAGGAAAGAGTTCTGAGACGGGCCCAGGGTACCTGCGCTTTGCCGTATCTCGCTCGTGGACTCTGAGGGTACTTGCGAACCAATTCCTCAAATGCATTCATTGCTTCCTCGATTTTACCCTGTTAGAGAGGAACAGCTGTGTGAATAAAACCCCGGTGAAGAAAGAATCTTAGCTTTATTACTTAATAGTCAGCAAATGATTGAGTCAGAGTTTTTTAGAATTCTTCCTGAACACTAAACAGAGCTGCCTACATTTCAGAAAACAAAGCTGTGTCGAGTACAAACACAAAACTGTACTGAGAATATTTTAATCCTGAAACTGAGGAGTGCCGACAATGACGAAACATGGATTTTGCTGAAGATAACCACGTTTTTCTCAATTGACTGAGCCCCCACATATTTCCTCAATGAAGACATTTAAGTTACATGTGAGGGCAAACAGCACCGGCATTGGGATTGCCTCAGGCCTGTGGGAGGCAAGGAGGCCAGCATGGCTTTGACGTGTCTGAAAAGGATGAAGAATAAACAAGAAGACCATGGGGACCACTTGGCCAGGGCATTGGTCTTCAGTGGCAGTCAGGGTTGATTTGGCTCATCCGGCTGAACTGGTACACATGGCTGCCTCTGCGGCATGCATGAGCTCATGCCTCCTTCTCCACGCTTTTTAGAAAATAAATATCTTCAGTTTCCCATGGGGGAAGGTAACAAGTTACTACAGATTCCATGGCTGGAAAACCTAAGGCTCAAGTTGGAATCAAGGTGTCAGAAGGCTCCAGAGGAGATCTGTTCATGCCACCCTGGAGCATTCCTTGGCCTGTGGCCGCATCACTTTAACCTCTGTTTGTCTTGCCTTCTATCTGGACCAAATCTCTGTCTACCTTTCTAAAAAGAACACATTCATTTGGGTTCTTTCCAGATAGTCCATGAAAATCAGACCCAGAGAGACCCATTTTTAAAATGGTCCCAAGGCAACATTGATGGGTGCCAGGAAACAGGGTTATCTTTTGAGGGGGGTCATTTTTCAGTCTACTGGTGTGGGCCTTAGTTTCCTATGGATGCGGGACCATATCATCATAAAGCTTGAAACAAGAGAAATTCGTTCTCTCACAGTTCTGGGCAAGTAGACATCACAATTACATTTTCTTGCCTGAAATGAAGATACTACCAAGACCATGCTTTCTCCAGAGGCTCCAGAGGCAAGTCCTCTCTTATATGCCTAGACTTGTGGCACTGCCACTCATACTGATCTCAACATTTCTCTTCTCTGTCTGTGACACCTTCTATTTTGTCTGTATCAAGTTTCCCTCTTACAAGGAAACATGGCTACATTAAGGGACCAAAGGAAGGATAAGCTCTACCTCTAGATCTTTAACATAATCACATTTGAAGGAAACCTGTGCAGGTCCCAGGGATTAACATTTGGCTATCTTTTGGTGGACCATTTCAGCTTATTTCCCAACCAACATTAATTGCCAAAGCCACTTTGATGAGCATTGTGCTAAGTGTACCACTAACAGCAAAACACAGGAGCACCAAGATTCATAAGAAATTTTAGAGCATATCATTGCCCTTTGGTATCTAATCCTTTGGATCATCTCAAGCATCTGGCTTTCATAGAGAATCAACATGCATGCTCACACATGAGTTGACTGTAATATTAATGTGTCAGTTCTTAGCTTCTCTCCCTCAAGATCTTTCCTAGCTACTAATACTGCTATTCAAAACTGATTTGAAAATCATATAGTATTTGTAATTAACTGCCTAAAAATGGCTTGTAGCTTACTTATATAGAGAGAGTTCTGGAGAGATGTGTTCATGGGCCACACTGTTTTGGCTTGAAGCCAGAGGGCAGTGCTAAAATACATCTGGCAATTGACACAGATGAACTGCAGAATCCCATGGAGCGAGGTGGGAAGTTGTGGGATGATCAACACCCTTTCACCTACATCTACAACAGAGCATTTCTCTATGGGTTCATTGTACACAGCTTTGTGCGGGAAAACGTATTCTAGTCTGCTTCTCTTCGGCTCATCATTCTGCCCTTCCACAGCAAGGAATCAGACATAACTTCCTTCGTGGCATGATTATAGGCTGTGGTGTGACCTTCCATGTGCCCATCCTACTGTGCCTTTGTGACATTTCTTTACTGCCTGTACCTCCTACCAAAAACAACCCAAACAACTTTCATTTATAATACCATTACAATAATAATTACACTAGCCAGGCAGTGGTGGCACACACCTTTAATCCCAGCACACTTCTTGGGAAGCAGAGACAGGCGGATCTCTGTGAGTTCGAGGCCAGCCTGGTCTACAGAGTGAGTTCCAGGACAGCCTCCAAAAGCCACTGAGAAACCCTGTCTCAAAAAACCAAATAATAATAATAACATTAAGGTAAATAATTCCAAGAAATAAATGATAATATTTCATTAGGTTATATCAAACCTGGTGGGGGTGGATAAAGAGAAGTTTCAAATAACACATATCATTTTTTTAAAAAATTCAATGACTCAGGGACAACAAGAAGATTCAGCATGCTAAGGCACTTGCCACCAAGCGTGACAATCCAAATGTGATGCTAGGTACCCACAAAGCAGTAGAGAACAGATGCCAGCAAGTTGTTCTCAGATCTCCATGGGTACAGCAGGGCATGGGTATGCACACCAATGAATACAGAAATGCACGCTTAAGGCTTTACAACTTAGATTATTCAAATGTGATCTGAGTTCATACAATTTTGGATATAACAAAAAGCAAGCACGTGCTTCCCCATAGCACAGAACGTGGATGAGGGAGATGGGTGAGGTTGCATTAGCCACCTTAGCACCTTAGCTAAGTCCTCAACGATCCTTGTATACTGAACTGTATCACTATAAAAACAATCGCAAACAAGACTTAGTGACGTTGATGGTTTGGTCACAACACGTCTTGAGAGCAGAAGTGAATATGTGACTCCTGCTCCTCCCTCCTTACTTTGCCCTTAAAGCAAACACCATCATTTCTCCAAATGAGCAAGACAGACGAACACCCCGGGCATGGTGGCAGCTCTTTAAATCCCACTGACTTAGGAGCTCCTTGGAAGCTCAGTCTGTTTATCGTTCATTATAACCACGGGAAAATACTTTAAAGTCCTTCACTTCTGTCCCACGGTCACCTTTACCTACAGCCTCCTTGTGCTCACGTGTGATCTAGAGCAAAGAATGCGAAGGGAACACAATGCACCGGGGAAGAGGTCCCTCCTTCATTTGCACTAAGAATTACAACCCCCTCCTACCCCCCCCCAAGGTGGGGGACAACAGCAACAAAACTCACAGATGGCTTTGCTTTATGAAGGGAAACACGAGAGACGCAGAAACCATTTTATCGGACAAAAATCTAGGTGCAGTGAATGGACACTGTCTCCGGCATCCTCTAGTCTCTGTGTTTATCTGCTGGTGACCAGAGTTGACCAAACCGCAGCTGTGGAGTCTTGTCTAATGCCGATCACAGAGGTCTCTTTCTTTCTCTGCTTCCAGTAAATGGGTGAGAAGTGCAAACTCAGCCCACTCCTATTCTTAACTGGCATGGTTTTTCTTAGGTGGGTTCCTCGATTTATATGCCTTTTGTCCACTGTTTTGCAGCTCATGGCTGCTAGATAGAAAAGCACATGCTAGGAAAGCTAATGACCACTACAGACTCTAAATTTAAATACAGTCAAAGAGAAATTTCTAAGAAAAGCAAACATAACTAATTAAACATCCTGACTAGAGAATATAATACACTGTGAACTATATTATTATTATGTATTACATGACTCTGGCCAGGCTACAATTCATTGTTTTCAGAAGCTGAATCACCCAATGATAAAGGAGACATTCCAAAGTTGTCATGAGCTTTACCTGACTGAGGAGAACACTGAGTCGTCGGTGTCACTTGATGGTCACAGGAGTTGGACTCCAGACTTTTTATATCTGCACTGAGATCTACAGAGTTGACTAGTGGGAACACCATGGCACCTGGCAGTGGTAATGTTTCTCTTCTTTTGAGTTTTATGAAAAGCCAGAGGGATTTAGGACTAATACATATCATTTTTTATTTTATAAATGAGGAAACTGGAGCCCACAATGACTGAGTAGCTACAGAATCCATGCAATTAGAACTGGATGGAGATGGGCTGATACTAGGCCAGAGGTCTATTGGTCCTTCTCTTCATCTGTGGCCCTTGGGTGTAGTTCTGCCCCCCCCCTTGATTTGGCTCACACAGAAATGTGCTACGGTGTCTTTTACATGTGCTATTGTTGTTGCTGCCATTGTTACTACACTTTCCAAAAGCCTGCAATCCTCCAGGCTTTTAACAATGAAACCGCTGCACACTTTTGTGCAAAACAGAAACAGCAACCTACCCTTTTCCGGAGCTTTTCTGCAGCATCAAGTTCAGCCTTAATTGTTTTATCAAATTTGTTCAGAAGTTTAGGCTTCTTTTTCTTAACTGAAAGAGAGAGACAGGAAAAAAAAAAAAAAAAAAGAGGTTTTCTATTTAATTTGGTTTTTGTCAAGGCAGTTATGAGAAGCAAGTTTTGCTGTCCACGTAACTGCAGGAACAAGAATATTCTAGTTCACTTTCAACCATTGAACACAGAGTGGGTAACACCTAGGAAAATACTGCTATCCTGCACTGCATGGCACAGATAGATAATTCCCTTTGAACACACTGAGTGCAGACACCATTTTGAAGAAGTCAGTGGGCGAACTTTTCCAACAGCGTGCATTCACTTCCCAAATCTCCTAGTTACTTAAAATATCCTTGATGTTATTAGACCTGTTCTGGTGATCTGTACCAGCAAGCTTTGTCCTTATTGTTGTCATTGCTGTGGGATGTCATGATCCAGACTCACACTCGACAGAAAAACCTATGACTCCGGACAGTCCATGTTTATGCTGAATGCGGATACTGCATATTCACAAACTTCTTATTCTCAGCACTATTTCTTGTACCAATGTCTCCCTAAAATGACCTTTGTTATGTTTCTTGAAAATGCCCCTATGCCTTTATTCCCAGTCATGTGGCTGATAAAACCCCAGGATGCTGCTGTGTTTGCTGTCTCTCTCCCTACCCATTCCTTCTTCCCGAGGCTTTCATGTCTATAGTGCCATATTGTCCTGAGGATCTTTCTGAAACAAGCTTGCTCAAAGTGCCACATTATTGGAAATAATCTTGTAGATCCCATGAGAAATGGCATCATGTGTTGGGAAAACAGATGTGAGGCTCCAAAGTGGGCAGTGACTACTCTATCTTGCAGTGGTCACCGAGCAGAGACATTTCAAAATCTTAACCTTCTAAATATCATGGTTGTGTTTGGAATTCAGCAGAAATTTTCACGAGGAAGCCAGAGGTTTATGTAAAGTTCGCTTTCCATTACTGTGACAACAAACCGGATGATCAACTTATAAAACGGGAAGGTTGGATTTGGGATCTCTTTTCAGAGGCCTTAGTCCATGATCAGTTTGTTTCAGGACTGGGCTGAAGCAGTGTATCATGACACTAAGCACAAAGACGGAGAGGCGCTCACACAGGGCCACCAGAAAGCAAAAGAGGATGAGGAGGGGCTGGAACCCATTATCTTTCCATCTCAGTAGCACTGTGGGCCAGAGACATTTCAACACATAGCCTTAGAGGAACACTTCTCCAAACACAGCTGGGGGAAGCTGAATTCGAGAAAAGTAAGCACAGATTAAATGTACAAATAAAAAGTCGTTTAGATTTCAAAAATACTGCATTTTGGAATCTTTGCATATATAAAATAAATTATCTTGGTTACTGGGGTCAAGTCTACACATGAAATTCATCTATTCTGATTTACCTTATATTATATGTACATATACATGTATACATAATGTATATATACATGTACATATGAATACATGTAGGTATGTATGTATCACACACTCACAAACACCCACAAGTACAAACACAGCATGCACACCCGAGGGAATTTTCTAGAGTAGTTCAGTGCTCCTCTGACTTGAATGACATCCTTCATATAAGGTCAGATATGGGACTTCTGCTGTGGAATTGTTTCTATGCACAAAAATATTTTGGATCTTGTAGCATTTCTAACTTTCAGAATAGGAGTAAAATTAATGTATCCAGGAGGAAGCAGTGGAACATTCCTGGAAAAATGGGAAACTTAAGTGCTCCCAAGGCGAGGATAGCAGCCTAGGCACAGCAAAAGGTGTTTAATTTGTAATGTGGTCACAATCTATTGAGAAATGGAACTGGTTACATGCCTGCTTGATCCCGTTGCTGTGACTTCCCCCACAATGATGGTGTCTCCCTCTTCCCCTCATTCTCTCTCCGTTCTGCCTCTATCCGAGATTTCTCCTCCTACTCATTTTCTCTGACCGCCAGCCCCACCTATCCGCCTACTTCCTACCGATTGGCCATTCAGCTTTTTATTAGATCTAATCAGGTGCCTTAGGCAGGCAAGGTGAAACAGCAACACATCATTACATAATGAAACAAATGTAGTGTAACACATGTAACACATCTTCACATAGAGTAATATCCTACAACGCCATGGCGATAAGTAACTATGGTATGCAACGAAGTAGGCTGCTTTAAAGAACATCTAATCCAAAATGTTCAGTGGACCACAGTGGGAAGGCCAGTGAAGAAAGACAAGAAAAAGAAGCAAGTTAGGCTCAAGCTATATGCCACAGAACACCTTGCCAAGAGCACTGGTATTTATTTCATATGTCTTATTGCATTTAAGCTTTTTAGTGCATTTAGTAGGTCTGTACAGGTATGACAGGGTACAGACACAGCTAAATGGGAGGTTCTTCATTTGCGAAGCTCAGCTGCTTTTAGTGGAACCTCAAAACTCCACACCACAGCTTGCTTTTGCTTACTATGCAATCGAATCACCCCGTCCCCTCAACACGGCCCAAGCAGGCCTTCGTTTCACCGTGTATCTGAACATGATCTTGAACATCTATCTGATCCTCCTGCCTCCATTACAGGCATGATAACAGACATGAGCCACCCAGCCAGGTTTTACCAAGTACAGGATCAAGACTGAGCCCAGGGCTCCGTGCATGGTGGGCCAGCACTCTACCTAATAAGCTATGCTCTGGGTCTCTATTATTCTCTTTGTTCTGTTTATGAAACAAAGGTCTGACTCTATGGCCTTGAATTCGTCTCTGATGGATCTTCCTACCTCAGCCTTCCAAGTCTCTGGGTTTACAGGTACATGTTCTTACACCAGAGAAATTCTTTGTTGACATGTAGTTGGCATTTATTGAGCACTTACTTGGTTAAACACACCCTTATCCTTAAACAACAAAGCCAAGACCGGGTCTCAGCTTGTCTCCAGTGGACTGCAAGCCAACACGCTTTACAATTGCTTTCTATCTCTGGCATCTGGCCCAGACACTGAGAAAGTGGGTTGTTCATAGGCTTTGATCATGATGGCAGAGTGGAATTAAATATTAGTGTAAGTAGTACATTGTACAAAGGAGCTAACTGAACTTTGTATTACTGTCTCTAAAGATAAAGGTAGCTTAGAACAAGAAAAACCATAGTAATTTCCCTTCATTTTGTGTCTTTCGCACCCAGTTACATTACACAGCCACTCTGGCTTAGCAGAAAGATGAGAGTATGAGCTCTAGTGTTAACCCTTTCCTGTGTTTCCATCAGTGCTATGGGGTATGGGGTACTTGACTCAGCCTACACTGCCATGAAAGATAGTTGTGGGTGGCCATGAAGCACCACACCAACATTAGTTACAGCTTCTACATACAGCATCTTAGTTTACTTTAAAATCCTGTTTCTTAATTCAGCATAATATCTGCATGAGCTACTGTCTTAGTTAGGGTCTCTATTGCTGAGACAAAACACCATGACCCAAAACCAAGCTGGGGAGGAAAAGGTTTATTTGGCTTATACTTCAGCATTGCTGCTCATCACGGAAGGAAATTAGCACAGGAATTCAAATTCCCCGGGACAGGAGCTGAAGCGGAGGCCATAGAGATGGGCTGCATACTGGCTTGCTGCTCATGGCTTGTTCAGCCTGCTTTCTTATAGAACCCAGGACCAGCAGCCCAGGGACGGCTCCACCCACCATAGGCTGAGCCCTCCTCCATTGACCACTAAATGAGAAATGCCTTACAGCTGGATCTCATGGAGACATTTCCTCAGCTGTGGCTCTTTTCTCTAATGACTCTAGCTTGGGTCAAGTTGACACAAAAAACCACCCAGTACAGCTACTGTATTAGTAAATGTGTAAAGTTTCATTTTGTTTTGTTTTGTTTTACGTTCAGATTTGCTTGATTGTCAAATACTTCCCTGGTAGAGGCTTAGGCAACTATTTTCACCCACGCTACACCTTTGAAGCCACACTGTGCTTCTCATGCCCCCCCCCCCCAGACCCCATTCCATTTTGAGACACTCTATTCCAAAATCCCAATCTAGGCAAAGGAGATGCCCACTGAGTTAGGGAACATGCTAAGCCTGATGATCTATCTGAGTGTGAGCCACAGAAGTCACACAACTCCTGCAAAGTGTTCTCTGATCTCTACACCTGTGCTGTCGCATGACACCCTCCCCAATAAAAATGATTTTTTAAGATTTGTAATTTTTTTATTGATAATAAAACTAAAACAAGAAACACAATAAAATCCAAATCTGAAATGCTCGGTTGTACAGGACTATCCTCTCAGGCAAACTGCTGTAATCTTCTACCACCCAGGAGGGTTTGCTTGCCAAAGAGCATCATATCTGGATTTGTTGACTGTTGACCCTCCCTCTTGGAAGGAGAGGATGGGACAGGTCATGTAACCCTCACCTAAGTATCCAGCCATCCCCCGCCCTATAACAAATTGCATGCAATTCTACACTCATTAAATGTGGCCTTAGGATCCCTGGGAGGGGCTAGAGGATATAGATCAGGAAGCATGAGTGGAGCAGACTCCCATCTACAGGAAAGCCATCATCCCTGCTGTGTACAGACCTTGCAGTGTGGATTCTCTAGCATCATCTACACACTTGCATGGGACCTAAGCCCTCACTCACTGCTCTGTGTTAGTCTAATAATCTCAGTAGTCCCCCAGGCGAACTCTGGTGAAATCACAACTTGGCTTGTTGGTAAGAAGGGATACTGGTTGTTTTCATCTCCTTGAGGGAAAGAATTTCACTCACATGCCCAGACGTTCAAAAACTTTCTGAGTAACACATGATGTTATAAATCTGGTACTTCAATACTTACAAGTTTTGTTTCATGCAAGAAAAAATCACAGTAACTATGTATATTGTTAGTGTGATAAAATGCCCTAACAAAAATCAATGCAAAGATGGAGAGATTTACTTTGATTCACAATTCAAAGGTTCATCGTGGCAGGGACGTGTCATGGCTGGGAAGGCAGGGTGTCAGAAGCCAAGGCTTATGGCGACACCCACAGTAAGGAAGCAGAGTGACGAATGCCTGTGCTCAG